CCTGGGCATGCCAAAAAACCTAAAGAACTTTACCAGGGAAGCAGGTGAGAGCCTTGTGGCAAGCTGTCAGGTCATCCACCTCTGCACAGCAACCCTTTTTAATCCTGATTTCCCCGTGCAGGCTATCATGCCCACATGGGTTTCTTTGTTTTTCCTCTGTTGGAGAAATTGGAAGGTCTATTTTGTGTCTTTTAGCTGCTCTAATTCACGTTTCCTGCTGTTATAGCACTTTAGTTAGGGAATAAAATCATCGTCACTCTGTATAAGAAAAAAGGTGCCAAGTCAGACTGCTCAAACTACCGTGGTATAACTCTGCTCTCCATTGCTGGTAAAATTCTTGCAAGAATACTATTGAACAGACTAGTACCTGCCATCGCAGAAGAACTTCTACCTGAAAGCCAGTGTGGTTTCAGGGCTAATAGAAGTACCACAGACATGGTATTTGTTCTCAGACAATTGCAAGAAAAGTGTAGAGAACAGAATAAGGGGTTATACGTAACTTTCGTTGACCTCACCAAAGCTTTTGACACTGTGAGCAGGAAAGGCTTGTGGCTGATCTTAGAACGATTAGGTTGTCCCCCCAAGTTCCTGAAAATGATTATTCTGTTACATGAGGATCAGCAAGGCCAAGTCAGGCATGGTGACGCACTCTCTGAGCCTTTCCCAATAACCAATGGTGTGAAACAAGGTTGCGTTCTCGCACCGACCTTATTCACAATCTTCTTCAGCATGATGCTCCAAAGGGCTACAGCAGACCTCAACGAACAAGACGGCATTTATATTCGATATCGTACCGATGGCAGCCTATTCAATCTAAGGCGACTGAAGGCCCACACTAAGACCCTAAACCATCTTGTCCGTGAACTGCTCTTTGCTGATGATGCCGCCCTTGTTGCCCACACAGAAGCAGCTCTGCAGCGTTTAACATCTTGCTTTGCGGAGGCGGCTGAGGTTTTTGGGCTGGAAGTCAGCTTGAAGAAGACAGTAGTCCTCTACCAACCTGCACCCCAAGAAGATTATCGCCATCCCCATATTACCATCGGCGAGTCAGAGCTTAAGACAGTTCAGCAGTTCAGCTATCTGGGAAGCATCATTTCCTCGGATGCCACGATCGACAAAGAGATAGACAACAGAATAGCAAAGGCATATAGAGCCTTTGGAAAACTTCATAAAAGAGTCTGGTGTAATAAACACCTGAAGAAAAGTACAAAGATCAGTGTCTACAGAGCCATTGTATTGTCTACTCTTTTACATGGGTCTGAATCATGGGTCATCTACCGTCATCACCTGCGACTCCTGGAACGCTTTCATCAGCGCTGCCTCCGTACAATTCTAAACATCCATTGGACCGACTATGTATCTAATGTCACTGTCCTCGAACAGGCAGGGGTCACCAGCATCGAGGCCACATTGCTGAAACTGCAGCTGCGCTGGGCAGGGCACGTCTCTAGAATGAAGGATCACCGCCTCCCCAAGATCGTGTTTTACGGTGAACTTGCCACTGGTAGCCGCAAGAGAGGTGCCCCAAAGAAGAGATACAAGGACTCCCTGAAACAATACCTTAGCCTTGGCCATATTGACTACCATCAGTGGTCCACCTTGGCCTCCAATCGGGAGACTTGGAGGCACACCATACATAATGCCGCTGACTCCTTTGAGAGTTCACGAAGAACTAGTCTCGAGGAGAAGAGACAACGCAGGAAGAATCGTGTCCCACCTGTTCCACCCAAGGAGACCTTCTGCTGTGCTTTTTGTAGCCGGATTTGCCTATCCCACATTGGCCTTCTTAGTCATCAGCGCGCTTGTAGTAAGCGTGGGTAAATGCCCTTCCCAAATCTTCGTTCGCGAAGTCAAGCCATGATGATGATTTTGTGTCTTTTAGCTGCTCTAATTCACGTTTCCTGCTGTTATAGCACTTTAGTTAGGGAATAAAGTGATATAACTTTATTATATCACAGAACAGGCGGCAGGAATCTGAACTGAGTGCCTGATGCTTAAGAAGGTGAATAATGACTTGGAGAAGACCTTGTGTGTATCTTCTGATCTTTGGGCTTCAGACACCCCTTCACCCATAATTAACTTGTGTGTTGACTGATCACCTGAGTGATCAAGGCAGACTCAGTATGTCAGTGGAAACCAGGAAACTATTACTCTATGGCAAAACAGCAATCAAGCCAACTCGTCTATGATACAAATCAGATACCTGCAAGAACAAGTCACGTAATGGCAAGCTGTACTGGAGATGGATGATATCCTAAATCATTATCTTCAATAGCATCAATTATGTTTACAGGGTGAGTAAGACCATGGTATCTTCATGGCAAGTGCTCATCCAGATAACAGCAGAAGCAGCAACAGCAAAAATGAAAATTAGAGCATGAATTTCAGGAGGGGGAGTGCACTATACACAACTGGCCAATAAATCAAGGCCATCAGTGGATTAGATGGAGTGGAATGGTAATGGTTATCATTCTCTTGTATAAAATGCACAGCTTAGGGCATATAGATCATTTAAAATATATATGAATTTGAAATCAGCCAAAATATACGTCAGGCATTTTTCTTCTTAGAATTATGGTATGTTTTTAAAGTGTAAGTGCTTTTCAGGAGAAATTTTAGCATGTTTTGCATTCAAATGAAACATCTACTATACATTTGAACCCCTTGTATCCCCTGCCTGTGAAAGTGGAGGGAATCATTGGATTTATAGGTTCTTTTGCTCATTCTGTTGAAGTCAGCTTTTCTGCCTAATGTAGCACATGGCATAGGGAATGCTTTCATTGCACAACTTCCCATAGAAGAGATAGTGGTTACTGTCTGACACATCACAATGTGTAAACAAAGCCTCAGAATAAGTCTGTATTAGAAGAAGAAACTCAACTAGCAGAGGATGAAGTTAATAACATTTTCTGTAATCTCTTTATCAGCATTTCTGTGGCCAGTTTATGATAATAAACAGGCAGAAAAAAAGATCATGTTTGAGATGGAAGTAAATTTCAGTCTGATGTGAGTGATGGATCTCATAACCAGTTATAATTAGAAGGGTGGCTTCTTACAGAACTGTTCCTCTATAAATCAGAGCAGATATTACCCCAACTTGTACAGCAACTATGAAATATGCTATTAAATGGGAAAGTCATGAGATAGATAGGTTCTTTTGTTGCAATTTCATTCTCAGAAAAGGTCTCATTTGACAGAAGGTTATGTCCCCAACCCCCTCCCTCCAAAAACTGAATTACAATTTCCATTTAGTAATGGCTATTTTTTTGTTGTTTTATACTGACGGTTTGTGCAAGCTGAACCCATTCTTGTTTCAGCAGAGAGCATCCTTTCTTGGAAGAGTTGGTCAAAGGAAACCCCAAAACCCCCTGTCTATGGCACAAGCTTCATATTGAGCAAAATTTTACACTGAACAAGAAGCAAGAAGTACGGGGTGGTAACCCAAGATATGTGTATTTTCCTTTCCTCTTCTGACAGAGTTAGCTTTAACCTGGCCTGCTGCCCACCCACTTTATTCCATATGCGACCATGTCCATAGGGGAGGCAACTATAGGAAAGAAGGCCTTGCTGTCTTGATGACCAAAACCAAACCAAAAACCAAATAGTAAGAGTCCTTGAACTGTTTTCTTGTATTAAGGTCCAAGTCTTTTTCTCTATGACATTTTCTTACATTTTTAATAGGGATGGCTTTATTTCAGAAATGAGTTCTCTGAAAACCTGTGAACACTTTCTCAGGTCTGCTGGTATTGTAGGGCTGTAGCTGCCTCTATTGATCCTCATTTAAAGCTGTAATTGCAAATAAAAACATCATTATATCCCCCAGCTACCTTAATTGAAAGGATTGATTCACAGGAGCAAGGCACGATAAGAACTTCTGCATGGGCCAAGTGCTCATGGACATTTTAACAACTTCATTTCACCATGGCCTGGGTTAGTTTTTGTGTGGAAGAACGTCATAGGCAGTGGGGAGAGACCTTTAGTCTTCTAATATCTGACCTTGTTTCTTTGGCTTCACTTAAAATAAAGCAGGGGCCCTACCTAGTACTCTGTAGGCATCAGAAGGATCTCTGGGTTGGTCTTCCAGAGGCACAATTGTCTAGAGAAGCCATATATATATCAACATGTCAAGGGTATGTGCTCTAGTTGTGTGCAAGTACTAAGATCACAGGTTCCTATAAGCAGAAGATGAATAATGTTACAATTATGAATCGACTTTCTTGCCTGAACTGGGTTAATTATTTGCATGTTCACAAAACTTGTTTCCTTTCAGTTATTTCTCCATAGACAGAATTTGGGACTTTTTAACCTTATAGTATGGTAACTGTAGAGTTAATGTCAGGTAATTTTCTTCACAGGATCAAACTGCTGTATTCCAGAATTCTGCATGATATTCTATAGTACTTCAGGTTCAGGCCTGAAACCCATGAAGTTTGCAGAATCACTGTCTACACCTTGTAACCATATAAGGTGATCCTGTTAGTGTGTATGTCAGCCTCTTAGCTCTAGTTTATCTGCTGTCTCATACCAAAACACTTCTGGGTGTTAAATAGGTCCTTCAGTTACAAATTAGCATAGACAGCTAGAGTATTTTCTTCATGTCTGAACAAATACATAAATGAATCTAGGCAAATCTGACTGAGGTCAGAATAGCTCTGCTGTAAATGGATCAAGCAGGGGATGTCATGGTGGTGTAACGAGCCCTGTGCAGGGTGGTGCTATGGGTGTTGCAGCTACAGAGCTTAATCTCTCTGCCCCATTTAAATTTCTTTCTAAACATCTCTTGGATAGAGCAGTTGATGTCAGAGATTTGGGGAAGACTTAGACCCTTCCTCCCAGGGGAGCTTTTGTGAATAGATGTGTTTAGAGGATCTGAGGAGGAACAAAGATAGAAGATTGTTCCATCATAGTTTCTCCTTGCATCTGCCCATATTACAGGATTAAGGCACGCAAAGCGTATTAAGTACGCCAAGGTCTTTTATCGTGACTGGTCCACAGAGAAGATGAAACAAAACTCCGTTTCCTTAAAGGAGATTGTGAAGGCTTAAGACACTGAATTGCTCTTCCAGAATAAGATCCTGGAATGGAACAGAGGGCACACCTTGCCCTGGCATTCTCTCAACCCGCAAGAACATGACTATTTCATAACAGCTCAGGGAGGTGAACACCCAAGACCTTCAAGGTACCAAAATTCTTTCAGGGATCTCAGCCCAAGAGATTAGCTCTTCTTTAGCACCTCACATTATTTTATCTTCAGAGCCAAATAACTCTATACTTATTGGTGCGGTATAACAAGCCAGTCTGCTTAATATGCTCAACTTGGAGGAGTAAATTTGTAGGGCAAGAAATATTTTTCTAAGTCTTAGATTGGGATCAATAGGGAAAGAAGTTTACCTGTAAGACTGGCTGGAAACAAAAGTGAGATATCATTGCTCAAGGGAATGTATTCTCTTAGGCAGCGTTCAAATATGTGGGGCAAACTTAGCTCCTTTAAAAATAAGTAAGTATTTAAAAAGAATTAAACAGAACTCTTGTTTGTTAGAAGAAATTATCAATTGTTTTGTCTTCCAGAGGTAAACAAAGAACTCAGGGAGTCTCAATCACTCACTCAGTCTTATGACCTTGTGGTCACTGGCCAAAATACCAGCGGTTACGTTCCATGCTGCAGAACTAAGAAGAAGAAAAGCAGATACTCAGCAGGGTTAGCCCAATATCCTTCCAAGTAATCCTTTATTTTGCAAAACATTTCCATATGGGAAACTCAATCATTGAGCAGAAGCACTGAGAGCAGTGTAGCCAGTTCTTTGTGTAGTTACTGATATTGTCTATTGAATACCTAAACCAGTTGACAGGCAGTGCTGTTCATGTCTAAAAGTAAAACTGATGCCTGGGACTGAAAATTAATCTACAGCATTATATTCTAACCATGGAATGAGTATCACCATTTGGAAGGGAAGAAGATAGCTAGTATTAGATTGTCTGATGAAGACAAGTAGCTAGAAGTCTCAAGATCTGTTGCAGATATAAAATTCTTACCCTGAATTTTGTGCAAAAATTGGTTCAAAACACAAATTTGCGGTTAGGGCTTATTTGTGTAATGGGCCTGAGATTCAAACCTGAATCTGAATCCTTTTCTGTTGGGCAAAGTTGGCATCTGGCTCAGCGCTGGCCTGATCTACAGTTAATTGTTACTGTAGTTAATCTGAAGTTAACTAATCCTAGAAAGCAAACAGTTATTTGTAAGAAAATGTCTGTCTCTGATGGTTTGGGTTTTTCCACCTCCTTTCTTTTTTTTTTCTTTTAAGGGGAAAATGGGTTGCAATAACACAGAACCATCGTGCTCGCTCTGGTTACAGCTGACTGACGCTACATCAGCAGCAGAATATGTACAAATTAAACTGTAACAACGTACCAAGGAGAGGCACAGCAATATCATAAAAATTATCCACAGTACAATATGACTAATGTTGTGTGAAATGCATTCATTGGCAAAATGATGTCTAGGTGTATCTTATGGAGTTATGCTGATGAAGATAATGGTTATAGAAGAGATAAAGGAAGGAGAGGTGAATGAAAGACAAAAGGTTGCAGTGAGGGCAGCATGGCTGGGGAGGATGCTCAAGTAGGTGTGTTTGAGCAGGGAAAGCCATGCCCCTATAGAATGGAGAAGGATGTGGGTGCGCATGCAGTTTTAGGTATGTGTGCATATTCCTGTGTTCTTTCTCACCTCCTTTTTACCTGGACTTTGTGCAGGCAAACATTTATCTGAGAACACAAGCTTCATAGGTGTTAAATATTCACAGTATTCTACAGTTACTTGTAGAAATTACTTTTGTGGGTTTTTTTTCTAAATGCAAAAGCAAACAAAAACCCAAAGAGAAGAGACTGATACTTTATTAAAATGTCTACACCCAAGAAATCGGCTTGAATGTCCCCAGAGAGGCTATGGCTACAGCAAGCACTTCATTAGTGTACCCTAGAGGTACTTAAAAGATGTGTAATGTGGTGCGTAGGGACATGGTTTAGTGGTGGACTTGGCAGTACTAGGTCACCAGTTGGATTTGATGATCTTAAAGGTTTTTCTAACCTAAATGATTCTATGATCAGGTGTCTCTGCCCATGGCAGGGGTTTGGAACTAGATGTTCTTTAAGGTCCTTTCCAACCCGAACCAGTCTGTGATTCTATGACTAAGATGCATTCCGATGTCATCAGCACCTTCCTTAGCCTCAGAGTCTTTTCAAAGTGAGTAAATGTTTTGCCTGAATATGGAACTTGGGTATTGGTAAATTGATTTGATTTTCCTCTCCCTCTGTTTAACATAGATTTGAACAAAATCTGTCCAGTGACTCATCATGCCGTCATGCTTCTCCATAGACTTTTACCTTGTATATGAACATGTTGTTTTCAAAGGAGTTTAAGGATTACCCAAGTGAGTATTTTGTTTTCTAATAGCTAAATTCCATTTTCCAAGACACCTGAGGTGCTTGAGAGCTCACAGCTCACGGAGGGGCTCTTAAAAACCTCTCTAAGTACTATTTAAAATCAGAGCGAAGTGGATGTGCCTGAAATGAACTGAATCTGTGTACAGTGTGCGGCTGGAGCACAGGGCCTGGTCTCTGATGCAGTCACAAACTCTCAGATTACTAGAGAAATGAAGTGGTTTTATGGTGTTCTTTATAGGATTGCCACCTGGTTGGTTACAAAGAGAAAGCTTAGGCCAAAATCATACAGCAGTTCTTGTTTCTGGTGTGTTGGAGCCATGATATCTAGGTTATTTTCCTCATTTATTGGTATGTACAAGAATGGGATGTAGACCCAGCCAAAAATATCAGGATCCAACTATTTTCAAAGTCCTGGGATATCCATAGGTGGGAGTTGCTTCATCTCCTGGTGAAGAAAGGGTCCCCTAGGGACCCTTTCATGGGAGCAAACCTCTCCATAGACATTGAGTGCTGGACTGAGCGTTTCTGTTGTGCTCCAAAATCAAAGGAGGAGGGAGGGATGCAGTAAAATCAGTGTTTTCAGCCCTGAGTCTGACTTTGGTCTGGGGTTCTTTGTGAACCTCATAAAGCTTTTTCTCCAACCAAGCACCTCCACTTGCTGCTGAGCATGTGCCAGGAATTCTCTACCCAAGGAAGCTGCCAAAGCTCATGGAGCTGCGATAACTCTCTGCTATTTTATGGTATGAACCTCCCTGTCAGTGCAGCCCTTTTCGCTGTGCAGGCAGGGGGATAGTTTAGCCAAGCTGGAATATCCTGAGCCCATAGCCCAGGCTCGATGACTTTAGTCCCCTCCATGCTACAGTTTCCTGGTTTTACAGTTCCATGGCTGCTCTATGCAGAATTTCTGCCTGCCCCTGTTCACTGAGGAAATAAACTTCGGCCATATACTCCTAGCATGGGAAAACACAGTTCTCCTTTGCTTTGACAGGAGTGTGTGCAGTAATACAGTAAGCTCAACCTTGAGAAGCAGGAGAGGCACTCTAGGACCTGAGCTGGTTTATATCTCAGCTGATTCTCTTCTTTCTCTTTTCCATATCCCCTTAATAGCTTGACAGGAGAAATATAGGGAAGATACAGCGATCTGATTAACAGTGCTGGGGGCTGGGGGGACCAGGGATGGATGACAGGGAAAGGGAACGCAGTGTGGCTACCAGCCAAGTTCCAGCAAGAAACAGAATATCTGGCTTCCTCTAATCTCTAGAGGAAAATTGAGTTACAAAAACCTTTAGTGGAAACTTTGCATACGTTCAGTTCTGTTGCCATGCTTGACAGAAAAAAAAGCTGATCTATTATTTAGTTTACAGTTACAGCATTAAAGGCATAAGCTTTCCCACCAGGAATGAAGGAAAAAAAAATCCTCTTGAAAAACAAAGACAAAACCTCTTAAAACCCGCTGAACATTTTTTGTTGTCAGAGTTCTTGAGCAATTCTCTTTTCCGTACTGGTGGGAGGTTGTGTGAGTTGAGCATCTCTCCCAGTAAGCGAGGTGAAGTTATGAACTTGTCCAGAGAGCTTTTCCAGCCATTTGTGCTGCCTTCTGCTGGAGCACAGCAGGGTAGGCTGGGGTGCAGGTGGTGGGGAGCCTCTGGATTGCCATGGTCAGGCACCAGTGGCCAAAGAAGGTGCTTAGGGCTGCTCGTGCACACCCAGCCAGAGCCAAGGCCATCATCACGGAGGAGCACTCCTCATCCTGGCTTCAATAACAAAAGTGTGTGTTACAGAGGGAGGAATTTCTCCCCCTCTTGCATGTCTGTCATCAGTGTGCTGATGAAAAATACTGGAGATTGATTTTAAAAACATAGCATAGGTGTTAAGTGAGCAACAAGTTGGGACCTATGCATATGAGAAAACTCCCTGATTAAAATTAAATAGCCTGTTTATTGGATGTTAATCTGAAGCAGTTGCAGTGACCATGATGAAAGTATTACTTATGTGTTACTCAGTTTTGTGAGACGAAGAAAAGAGGCTAGATTGGCTGACCAGATCTTTCCTTAATTTAGTCTTATGTCAGGTTCATGTGATATGTGTGAAGAGAGATTTCTTTCACACCTGAAACACCAGCTGAAGGTCTAAAACAGCATCATGTGGTTCAGCAGCATGCATTCCACTTGCTGGCTGTGATCTGTTGCTGGTTGCTCAGGCTAGTAGGAAAGTCTGGAGGAGGCCACAAGGATGATCAGGGGCTGCAGCGCCTCCTGTATGAAGGCAGGCTGAGAAAACTGAGTCTGTTCAAACTGGAGAAAAGAAGCTGCGCAGAGGCCTCAGAGCAGCTTCCAGTGTCTGAATGGGACCTACAAGGATGCTGGGAGGGACTCTTCATCAGGGCCTGTAGTGATAGGACAAGGGGTGATGGGTTCAAACTGGAACAGGGGAAATTTGGGTTAGATGCAAGACAGAAGTTCTTCCCTGTGAGGGTGCTGAGGCGCTGGCACAGGGTGCCCAGAGAAGCTGTGGCTGCCCCAGCCCTGGCAGTGTTCAAGGCCAGGTTGGACACAGGGGCTTGGAGCAAGCTGCTCCAGTGGAAGGTGTCCCTGCCTGTTGGAACTGGATGGACTTTAAGGTCCCTTCAACCCAAACCAGTCTGGGATTCTATAAAATTGGCTCTGCTTGCTCAGGGAGGAGAAAGTATGGGTGCATTTTGCACTCTGTCCCTCCACCGGGTTGCTTCCAACCTGCACC